CTCAATGCACCGAGTGCTGCGCTCGACGTGAAAAAAGTAACCCTCAGCCCTAACCCTAAACCCTTAACCCAATGGCCCTCAAAGACCCTTCGGAACCCGTATGGCAGTCCCATAGCCCCAAGCTCTCTGCTGCCCCAAAGTCGACAACACCTTACCTTAACCTACCAGAACCTATTTTTTTAGTAGGGTCCCTATAAGCTCCATGTTAGGCCTTTTATTAAGAACCTACACAAACGTCGGTTTTTTGGGTTAAGTTATATCCTAAACCCTAAACCCTAAACCCTAAACCCTAAACCCTAAACCCTAGACCCTTAAACCCAGGCCCGAAGCCCTAAACGTCCTAAGTCCTAAGGCCCGAAGCCCTAAGCCCTAAAGCCTAAACCAAAACACCTAAAGCCCGTAAAGCTATACTTTTTCCATGGGCTACTAAAACTGCCCTAAACCCGAGACCCTGAACCATATGCCCTAAACCCTCATCATAAACCCTTCTCTTAGGCGCCTCAGATGCCTGGCAGCTCTTTACCGAACTCGACTCGGTCGCTTCGGCTGCTCTAACTGAGGGTTTAGGGTTGCGGCTGCTGGTGCCCGCATTTATTTAGCTTTGGTAGGGCTTCCTAGCATGTCATAAGGGCTCCTATGAGAGTTATTGTATGGGTCAGCAATAAAAGGGCTACGATGCGGGTTCCTATCCGGGTTCTATTCGGCATATTATTTGTGTCTTTTCTTTTTGCGATTTAGGGTTTTGGGTGTCGGGTGCAGGGCTTAATGTTCGACAAGTGGACTTGATAGGGCTTTGTGGGATTATATGATCGGGTTTGCGTAGAGATTGTGTAGGGTTTCAACGGTGCCTGTAGCAAGCTTTGTCTGGGGAGTGGTAGAGTCGGCAGGGTTCATACTATCGTGTCGAGTTCCTTTCGAGAAGAGTTGTGGGTAACGTATGTTACAGCTTGTTGGGCCGCTTCATTGTTCCATGATGCTTTTTAGGGTTCCGCAAAGCTGAGCTAGGAGAACTTTCAATGGTCAATTCCCTTAAACTAAGGCCCTCAATCCTAACCCTAAACCCTAAATCCTCAACCCTAAACCCTAAGCCCAAAACCCAAGGGCCTAAACCCTAAACGCCAAAACCTCAACCATAAATAAGCCCTAGAGCCCAAACCAGCAACCCTGAATCCTGAATGCCTTCAGATCGGGATTCTTATCGGTACGTCTGCAAATTATTGGCATTTTGTGGTTTGGGGTTTAGGGTTTATTGTTATTTGGGTCGCCAGACTAGTACAGCACCCTTATCAAAGGGACCGTAACCAGGACCCCGATTTGGAGTAGCAACCCTAAACCCTAAACCCTAAACCCTAAACCCTAAACCCTAAACCCTAAACCCTAAACCCTAAACCCTAACCCTAAACCCTAAACCCTAGACAACTACCCATTTGGAGTAGCCTTATTGATTCCATGCAAGTCTCTGCATGCTTAGACCCGTTGGAGCGCAGGGTTTCCAAGTGGTTTAGGGTTTAGGGTTTAGGGTTTAGGGTCTGTTTCTTAGTTAGTTCCCAACACCCAACCTTTAAACTTTTTGGGTTCTTGAATTGCAAGTTTAAGCTTTCATTTCTCTGGCTTATTGGGGAAGTAAGGTTCTTTTGGCTCGCATAAAGGTTCCATTGCTTGGATGGTCGGGGGACTTAGTACATAGTCAGTTGCTATAGGTTTATGACTTAGACGTACCATAACCCCAAATAGGATCCACTTAGGGCACTTTTCTTACGAAGTCCCACGACCTTCCCACAGAGAGTTCCATTCAGGGACTATCAGGAATGTATAGGGGCTCAGGGTTTGAGGGTTTAGGCTCCGTTTAAGGGATACTATAAGAGCTACCACCGTTCTTGATATAAATCCAGCAAAACCCATAATAAGGAATATACCATGATTCCCATAGTTTGGTGTCCTTAAGGTACTGCAGGAGTTATAGCATCAACAGTTTGAGGTTTAATATATATATATATATATAGCAGCCTTAAGAATTCGAATAGGCTGTTGGGGGAAAGGGTTTGAGGGATTACAGGGTTTAGGGTTTGAGGACTTTTGGTTCAGGGTTTGAGGCTGAAGGGTTCGTTCCCTAGGGTTTAGGGTTTAGGGTTTAGGGTTTAGGGTTTAGGGTTTGGGGTTTAGGGTTTAGGGTTTAGGGTTTAGGGACAAGTTAAACCCTAAACCCTAAACCCCGGGAGAAGTGTCTCAGATTTTAGGGTTGTGCTAGGGCTTAGGGTTTAGGGTTTCGGGGGGATTTCAAGGGTTTTGAGATTTAGATCTGTTAGAGTTGCGGTCCAGATTTCAGGATCCTTTCGATGATCCAAAGCATCCTGGACCCTAAACCTTACAGAATCACTAATACAGAAGCCCACATAATTACCAATATTATTGTTAGGGTTCCTTACAATAATAATTATGGTATAAAGGAGCCCAGAACCCTCTTCTAACTATTGAGCCCCCTACATTACGGCCTGGCAAAACCTGCGTGATGTCCAGTGGAAGGGCGGACGAGGGGGAAAGGCTCCGATCCGCGGCGCTCTGGTTCAGGTCATGCCCAAATTGCCAGCTGTGAAGAGGCAACCCCAAAGCCTGAACCCTAAACCCTAAACCCTAAACCCTAAACCCTAGCCAACCTTCGATGATGGCGATGATTGGGTAGGATCCCAGCCATAAAGCTGAAATCTGAACCCAGCTTCTTAGCTCCTTTTGAAGCTTCTGCTGCTGAACTTTTAAGTTTAGGGTTTAGGGTTTAGGGTTTAGGTCTGAAGCTTGCCGGAATAATGGCCCAAGTACACCCTGAACTCCCTAACCGCTAGACGGGTAGTTGTCTAAATTAGGGTCCCTTTGAGGGTTCTTTCTTATAAGGGTGCCGTACGATGTTGGGGACCTAAATGGGACCTTGATTTGAAGAACTACCCACATCAAGGATCCGTGCAGACGTTAACATACACTGTTTGACGATCGGGGTTGTGGGAGTTCCTAAACCCTAAACCCTCATGACTGTCTGGTGCTTAGTAGGAAATGGGGGAATGGATCCCTGTGATAGTCCCTTAAGCTCCCTTATAGTAGTCCTTGTAACCCATTCCCCCATTCCCTAGTAAGCACCAGACAGATGAAACCCACATGGGTTCGTGGTTTTGGGGCTCGGGGTTTGCTCTTGCAAAATGGGTCACGACAAAACCCGACGCCCGATGCAGCCTGGCATGCACAACCCCGGTTTACGGCTCAGGGTTTAGGGGTTTAGGGACTGCTTAGCTAACCGGAAACCCCAAAACCGAAAACGCCTTGGAGCATTCCGTTGGAGTCCTTTCGAGCTTGTAACCCTATCCTCTAGTAAATCTTATTTGGAGCAAAGGAGTGACTGCTCGCACTGACTCTTGCAGGTACACTGCGAACCCCAAACCTCGAAATCCCTTGACCCCAAGCCTCCATGTGTTCAAGGCTAGACGCAATCGGTGTTGCTCAACCCTAAGCCCTATACTGGGTTCTTGTTCAGGGGTTTAGTTTAAGCTACCAGAATGGGGATCTATAGTAAACAATATTGTTTTCTTATTATATCAACTTAAACTAAATCCTTAAACCCTAAACCCTATAGACCCTAAACGCGTAGACCCCAAGCCCCTTCAATAACCAACCGCCCTCGAGGATGGAAGCGGGGAGGTCGATGTAGACGAGTTCCTTGCATGAAAGGTTGTGGCGGCTTTTAAGGCTTTGGGTTTAGGGTTGAGGGTTTAGGATTTAGGGTGTCGGGTTTTCCAGGCAATTCGCAACCCAGACCGGGTCCAAAACGTGCAAGCTGGCTCTCAGGGTCCCAGATACTACCCTTATGTATAAATATGAATATCTATATACCTATATATATATATATATATATATGAGATTAGGATCCCAATTTCGATTGGGCATCTACGTTTTAGATCCTCCCGGCAGTCTGGGTTGCGGCGGCTTTTTAAGGCTGTTTGGTAGAGATCTTTTGGTGTGCAGGGCTTTGGGTTGAGTAAGTCGTCGGTGTCGTAGTGAAAGCGGTAGTGGCAGCGGTAGCAGCAGCGATAGCAGCAGCAAAAGCAGTCGCACTAGCAGTAGATAGTTGTGGTCTAGTAGCAGTGGCTCAGTACTAGCAGCAGCATTTGCAGCAGCAGCAGCAGTAGCAGTAGCAACAGTAGCAGCGGAAGCAGCAGGAGCTGCAGGAACAGTAGCAGCAGTAGCAGCAGTGGCAGTCGCACTGGCCCCCGCAGTAGAGCAGCAGCAGCAGCAGAAGCCTCAGCAGCAGCAGCAGCAGCAGCAGCAGCAGCAGCAGCAGCAGCAGCAGCAGCAGCAGCAGCAGCAGCAGCAGCAGCAGCAATGGTACTAGTAATAGTGCTGGCGACAGTAGCTACGACCACGACTCTTGCAATCATTTCCAGTAGAAGAACATACGTGGCAAAATGGACAGGTGACACTATGCAGAAATAGCACAAGACCACCAAGAGCCATCGCATCACGTTGAAACCATACACCTGAAATCCCAAACCCCTAAGCCCTGAAACCGTAGACCCCAAACCCTGAACCCACGTGTTGCTTTGCCACGTTCTCGGAAGGACGCAGAACGATCCCCTGCTTTGGGACCGTAGACGATTAAAGTACTGTACACAGGATCCACCTTAACCCCAAACCCGAAAACCCCCAACCCGAAAATCTTAACACCCTAAACCGCCCTAAACCCTAAACCGGAAATCCCAATTCCTAAAATCCTAAACCCAAAGCTCTCCAAAACAAAGATAAACGCCGACGTCTTGGCTGTCAGGTTCTTGGAGGACCATGGGACTTAGTAACTAGGGTTATACATACGGTAACTATAGGTTATAATTCCTTATAATCCCAATTAGGGTACTTATAGCCTTACTTACTAAGCAACCCTAAACCCTAAACCCTAAACCCTAAACCCTAAACCCTAAACCCTAAACCCTGATCCTCCAAGGTTCTTGGAAGGATGCATGATGCTGAAGGGCCCCGCAAGGTCCATTGACGTGGTCAGAATCAAGAAGGACACCAGGGTTTAGGGTTTAGGGTTTAGGGTTTAGGGTTTAGGGTTTAGGGTTTAGGGTGTTTGTAGGATTTGCTGATGGGTTCTTAGGAGCCCAATAGGTAAACTTTAAACTTTTTTGGTATAGTAAACCCCTACTAAAAGAAAAGTTTAAACTTTTTTGGGCCAGGGTACTGGACAGCTAGGGGTCTTATGGTGTTTTATAGGATGTTATGGGATCTTGTAGGATTTGTAGGTTTAGAGGGTCTTTTAGGGCTACTTACCATGAAGGACCCCTCAGAGAGCGTGTTGTAGGGTTTCATATAGTGCCATTGCTATGAGGTTTGATTGTGGTCTCATGGAGCCTTGTGGGCTCTGTATTGCAACCTTTAGGGTTTAGGGTTGAAGTTAGAAGTACCTTTCTTTGCAAACGCAGGGTCCAAAGTAGACGGGAGGAAGTACCTTAGGTGGAGTTATAAACAGTTACAGACAGCTGGAGTTGCCTCGTTGATAGCCCGAGTCACTAAGTACCATGGTCCTCCAAGCTCGAGCTCTCAAATACTTGGAGGATCCTAAACCCTAAACCCTAAACCCTAAAACCCTAAAACCCTAAACCCTAAACCCTAAAGCCCTAAAACCCTAAGACCCTACCTGGGTTCGGGGGAGTGGCTGTGGGTTAGGGATGCTTCTGTGCGGCGAGATGTTGCTGAAACCGCAGGGCTTTGGGGGATTACAGGTCAGGGTTTCGGTAGGGTATGTTAGGGTTTAGTAACACCCACCTACAGCATCATAGCCTACAGGGTTTCAGAATTCTGAGGCTCGGCTCTTCCTAAGAGTATGTGTTTCTTCAACGCAATAATGAGAGGTTACCCTTCTACTCAAATCCTAGACCTCAGCTACCCATTTTCAGGTCTACCCCAAAAGCCTGCGGCAGAACCGGAAGAAGGCCCTAATCCCTAAACCCTAAACCAGTCGCATCGGCAGCAGGACCTTCTCCGGTTGAGACAAAAATTGGATTACCTGTGAGCAGCAGAGGGGCCTGGACAAGCAAAGAAGGTTAATATAGGGGTCTAAATAGTTAACAACTTATATATATATATATATCATAGTATAATATACCCGCAAAACCCTACTCTAATTATGTATTCAGGCCCTTTATATAACCCTAAACCCTTGGAGTAGCCCCTATAGAACTCTTTAAGGAGCCTTTCAGAGGAACTCCTAGAAACCTATATTACTTATTAAGACCCCGAAACCCTAAACCCTAAACCCTCAACCCTAAACCCTAAACCCTAAACCCTATATTACGGCTTTATAAGGAACAAGCTTTCGGGTTCTAGGGCGTAGCAGTCGGGAGTTGAGTCTCTTCGGGCTTTAGCTGTTTTGGTTTAAGGTTTTTAGGGTTTAGGGTTTTAGGGTTTAGGGTTTAAGGGTTTAAGGGTTTAGGGTTTAGGGTTTAAGGTGTAGGGATTAGGGTTAAAAGTTAAGTTTAGGTTTTAGGGGGTTTTTCATGGTTTGGGATTTCAATTTGGAGCTCGCTTGCACCCCAGATTCGAACTCCCGTGAGAACGCACCAAAAGCATCACCCGCCCAAGCCAGAAAGCCCTGAGATCCGTTTCTTAGTTCCCAATACCCAACCTTTTCATGACCCGACGTGCTTTAAACTTTTTTTGGGTTCTTATAATTTAGTAGTCATCTGAAAGTTTAACCTTTTATTTCCCTGGCTCATTGGGGAATTAAGTTTCTGGGATGTTCAGTAGTATCCTTTATTGCTGTTTTGCTTTTGGCTCCTAACAAATAAAAGAAGTACACACTTTGCCACGGGGTTACTAAAACCTAAACCCTAAACCTTAAACCGTGAGCCCCAAACCCTTAAAAAGAAACCGAAACCGCAAACCCCAAAACCCCTGGACCCTTATAGGCAGCCCTTATAAGAACCCTTTAAAGGAACCCTAAACCCCTAAGCCACTAAGCAGCTTAGTTTTGGGAGTTTAGCAGGCCCCAAGAATGCTGCGCCGTTCTCCAGGCATGGTACCTTTGTGCCGTTCTGTCTATCCAGAGAATACCGAGACCCTGAACCCTAAACCCTAAACCCTAAACCCCTAAACCCTAAACCCCTAAACCCTAAACCCGAAACCCCTAAACCCTAAACCCTAAACCCTAAACACTAACCGACACTCTTGTCAAAAGCTTGGCGAAGCTGAGGCTTCGCAATCTTGCAGCAACAAACCAAAAAGACCCTATCTATTTTTCTTAATTATAGAATAATATACCCCCTTCAAAAACTGCTTTGATGAAGAAGGCCCCTGAATTCTCCTGAGGTATGTATTAGTAGGGTTTAGTTGTTTGAAAGGGGGGCAGAGTTCTATGCTTTAGATGCGGGTTCTACTGTCCCGAAGAGCACCCATCCACCCTTCACTGCGGTTTGCTGTTTACAGTAGGGGAGGCAGTACTAGAACCAAGTGGTATGATATACCTTAAAGCTCTCAGGCCCTCAGCCCTAAAAGCACTTGCCATGCCCCAAGCCCTGAACCCTAAGCCCGAAACCCTAAACTCTGAACACCCAAACCCTAAACCCCCAAACCCTAAAACCCTAAACCCTAAACCCGAACAAGACCAAGCGGACTGCTTTCGGGTTCTCTGAATTTCATCTCACTCCCACAGGGGTCCGAAGTACAGGGTTACTTAGGATCCTATGGGACCGGTTTTGTTTGAACCTCTGGCGTTGAACGGGCTCCGTCGCCTAAAGGGCCGGGCCTGAACGGTCAAGGAGGTCTTGATGATTCCTCTCAGAAGCGGTTGTATGCTTTAGGGTTTAGGGCTTTAGGCTATAGGGTTTAGTGTTTAGGCTTTAGATTTGTATGGTTTAGGGTCTTAGGTTTTGGGCTTGTGCGGTTGGGGTTTAGGGCTTTGGCCCAATTCTACTTATTAATGCCCCTGCATACAGTTGTAGTGACATGTGACTCCAAACACTGATTGCCTTAAACCCTAAACCCTAAGGCTTATACCCTACATTTACGGTGTCATAGCCTACTATTTCGCAGGAGTGGGGCAGTTTTGGCCTGCAGTTAAACTTTGAACCGTTTAGGGTATAGGGTTTAGAGGAATCAGCAATCAGCAAGCGCGATTCGATCTGCAGTATCTGCAGCGGCTGGCGAGTCTCTGTATCGGCCCATTGGTCAGTTCGGCTGGTGGATTTCGTCATTCTTTGCTCAACTCTGATCCGTCGAACTCAAATGTCAAAGCCCAAAACCATAACCCCTAAACCCTATAAGCCCTAAATACTGTTCAGGATATCAACCCCGACTTCCATTAAGGACCCTAAACTATGGGAATCGATTCATAGTCCTTAGTATGGGTAATGCAGGATTTATATCATCAACCGTACTACCGCCCCGCATTGCGGCGGGTTCTAAAGCCTTGACATAAAGCACCACGATTGCAGTTGAGGTGCGGGGGCTTCCTGTAGCACCACATCATACATATTAATTTTAGGGTTTAGGGTTTATAGGGCTCAGGAGGTCATGACTCTAGCATTTTTAAACAGTACGTACCTGGGCCACAGTTTAGGCTTGCAAGGGTTCATGTGAGAGAGCCGCTCAGGGCTTTAGATTTTAAAAGTTCTAGTGCGGAAATTCAGAGCGTGTTTTTCAGGTGACGGCTATTTCGAAGGGTTTGTTCATCAAGGTGGTTATGGTCTAAAGCTGCGCTGTGCAAAAAGGCAAACCCTTGCTTGTGAGGGTCTACTGGGGAACCTACAGAAACGGTTGATGATATGTATCTTGCACTACGCATGACAAGAAACATACCTTAATTCCCACCGTTTAGGGTCCTTAAGGTAATCCTAAACGCTAAACCCTAAAACCTAAAGATCCCTTTACAGGAACTTTTATGAACCCTGAACCCTAAGCCCTAAAGCTCCGTAGGCCTAAAGGTAAACCCCCCAACTCCCTGGAGCTTTAACCCTAAACCCTAAGCCCTCAACCCCAAGCTTTTCGACCTATGGGCCTGGATGCTGACATGCGGCCATGCTTAGGCAGCCGCGTGTATTCTGACTGCTGGATTTGTGGGCACCCTGCTGGGGGCTTAGGGCTTTAGGGGTTTGTGGTTCTACGGTTATAGTTACTTATACGTCCAATTAAGAAGCTTGTAACCTTACCCAGAGGGTCCGAGTACCCAAATAGTAAGGTTTCAGGCCCCAAAATCCATACTGTGACTGGTTTTTGGACCTTGAAACCCTACTATTTGGGTGGTTGTCAAAATTATGGTCCCTTTTTGGGTCCTTATTATAATACGGCACCTATTATTTAGGGTACCCCAAAAGGGACCATAATTTTGACAACCACCCATTTGGGTACTCGGACCCTTAGGGTTACTTACTACGCACAATGATCCTCTAAGTCCCTAAACCCTAAACCCTAAACCCTAAGCCCTAAACCCTAAACCCTAAACCCTCATGTTTTAGGCGCTACTAAGGAACCCAAGGTCGAAACTCCTGCAGAAGCTCATGAACGGTGTAAGAAAGCAACCAGGGTTTGTAAATGGTTTAGGGTTTAGGGTTTAGGGTTTAGGGTTTAGGGTTTAGGGTTTAGGGTTTAGAATATTAGATGCGAGGCTTAAACGCCATAAGACCCATGTAAGGTCGGTTCATAAGATGCGACAACCACCCCTTACAAACCCTTCGCAAGAAGACAAGCTGAGTTAGCCAATACCCAACCTTTTAAACTTTTTGGGTTCTTGCAACTAACTTAGTAGCAAGCCGAAAGTTTATAACTTTTTATCTCCCTGGCTTATTGGGGTAGCAAGTAAAAACCTTAAACCCTAAACTGTACCCTAAACCCTAAATCTTAAACCCTAAAGGAATGGTCGCAGGGTGCTCCCCAATCTTCTCGGATGGTCTTTTTGTAGGTCTTCTGATTCCTGCAAAGGGCCCTGCAACTGGCGTCTGGGTTTCAAGGATCCACACCCTAAACCCTAAACCCCCAGACCCTGAACCCTAAACCCAAAACCCTATAAGCCCTAAACCCCCAAACCCTAAACCCCCAAACCCTAAATCCCAAAACCCCTCTCTGAGAAGCTTGACTGCTGAAACCTTGAGGGCTGAGGTTTCAGGGTTGAGGGGTTTAGGCCTTAGGGGTTTGGGTTTAGGGTTTCAGGTCAACCCTAAACCCTAAACCCTAAACCCTAAACCCTAAACCCTTATAGGGTTTAGGGTTCAGGGTTTGAACTTAAGGCTTAGGGCCGAAGGCTTGGGTTTATAAGGGTTTGGGGTTTAATTAGGGTTTAGGGTTTAGGGTTTAGGGTTTAGGGTTGGGTTTGGGGTTTAGGCTTCAGGCTTTAGGGATTTAGGGCGCGATTTAGGGTTTAGAGGGTTAAGGTTTGGGGTTGAGGGATTCTAAACCCTAAACCCTAAACCCCAAACCCTAAACCCTATTCAAGCTAAATCCCGAAGTCCCTACATCCTGAACCCCAAACCTCAACTCTACACCCGGATCCCTATGCCACCCTAAGGCCGTCTTTTCGGCCGTGGAGGAACCTAAACCCTGTAAGCCCTAGACCTTAAACCCTTTACCCATAAAGAAACCCTTAAAGGAACCGTTAAACCCTAAACCCTAAATCCTAAACCCTAAACCCTAAACCCTAATCTTAAACCCTAAACCCTTCAAGTAACCCCTGAAGAAAACCCTCAAAGTG